AGAAGCTTTTGCAAAAGCTTCTGCCTTTGAATAAAACTGGTGCGTCGGAAAAGGGGCAACCGGATTCCTTTTCCCCCATAGACAAACATAGCTCTTCCCCTACAATGTCCTTAACATCGCCAGGAGCGTTCAGGAACTCAAGGTGTGTAATGGTCCATGGGAATGACCTTGGGAGACGGGAGAAGAGATGCTGCCTGGGGAACAGTCAGATAAGAGGGAGCTGAGCCCGCAGCTGCATAACGGGTGGAGAAAAAGGCTCGGAAAGGAACCTCTGCAGTTTCTTGGGCTGTAAAAAGGACAGCGGGAGATTTGTAGTTTCAGCCTTGCAAGATTCCGTCAGTGTAGCCTTACGGTAAAGTAGAAATAGCTTATCCAGTTGTGTTTCCTGCCTGACAAGGTGGGACTTGAAGGGAAAGAAGGGCAGCCCCTTCTCCGTCCTTTAACGCACCTCCGTCTCTCGCCCGCCCCCAGACCTCCACCCTTGAGGACCTCTTGCAAGAAATCCGCTCCCTGCGCCAGACCATCCAAGATCACGAGAAGCGCATCACTGACCTGGAAAACACGCTCTGCGAACTCGCGGATGTGACAGACTAGCATCCTCCTTCCGCACCCAGGACACTGGCCCCGGAGACAGAGCGTCTCCTCCGTCCCCCTCGTCTTCTGCTTCTTCTTCTGCCGCTCAGCGGGCGTTTGTAGAGGCTGTTCCCCCGCTGCCAGGAAATGGCCCCTGCTCTCTGCTCAGCCCCTCCGCCCCGCCCTGCCCCACCCCGCCCCGCCCCGCCCTGCCTCCGGGCCGCCTGGGCTTTGGGGGTGCAAGTGGGGTTCAGAGACACGGCCCTCCCTGGACTCTGCTGGGTGGAGGTGGGGCAGCCAGTCTCCCGGGGGCTGCGCTGTGATGCCGACCCTTCTCTCGGCCTCCGGGGATGGGGCAGGTGGGGGGGTCGTGAGCCACACGCGTGGTGTGAGTTTTGCAGTGCAACAGAGGAAGAGCCAGACACTTAGATTTGCAGTGTCAGAGATCAGTCTGGGTCTGTGGAGAGGGAGGGAGAAGGGGGGGCCAGACCCTGCGGGCAGGGGATTGGTTTTACTGGGGGGGCCAAGAGGTTCTCCAGCCCCTGCCCGGGAAGGGGGGCACTGTGGCCCTGGAACGCTGGCCTGAGCTCTGACCATTAGCTTCCTTGGCCTCCTCTCCGGGGGGGGGGTCTGCAGACATTGCTTTCTGCAATAAATTGAGGGGTGGGTCGCCTGCGGCCTGTGGAGAGGAGCGCTTTGGAGTTTTCCATCTCCACCACTGGACGTTGTGCTGATGGCACACGCCCAGATGTGCAACGGAGGGTGGAGGAGCAAGGGTGCCGGGTTACAGCAGCACGCCCCCACCCCCCACCCCTGCTTGTAGTGCCAGGTGGCAACCTCTCTGGTTGCGGGGGGAGAGAGAAAGTAGGGCCATTGCTCATTTGCAAACGCTGATAAAAATATACGTGGCTCATTTCCAGTTGCTGACCAGACTCTCCGACTCTCCGTTGTCTTCTTTTGCGGGATAAAATGGGCACGCAATGAAGCGTGCGAGGAAAGTGATCCAGCTGGGGCCCAGCTGGATGCCCTTGAGGGGAGCCTCGGAGGACGGCCACGTTCTCCCTCCGTGCACAGCCACTGCCCCAGAGGCTCGGGAGGGAACCCCAGCTATCCCGCCTGGCCGGGGCTCACGGAACTGAGGGACGGAAACAAGCCATCCGCTGCTCTGTCGGCCCTGCATCTTGGCAGGCGGTGCCGGGGCGCTGGCACGGGCACCAGGGGTTGGATTCAACCTGGCCGTTCAAACTCTCTGGGCCGTTCCTGCAACCTGCCGCTGCTGCTCGATGCGGGACCCACGTGTGTGAGTTGATCAGTGTTTGGTTATAAATGTCCATTTAATTCTCGAGCTTGAACCAAGTACCAGGGGGTCACGCTGGCAAACCAGGATGAAGCCGTTTTTAAACGTTTGCCGCTTGTGGTAGGAGAATGAGAATTGGCTGTTGGGTTGGTAGGAAGAGATGGCGAAGAATCAGGAGGAGTCTGGTAGCATCTCTTCCGACTAATACATTTTTTAAAAAGGCAGACGCTTTTTTGAGCTGCGGCCCATTTTTGCAAAACCATTAGGAACTGTTGAACTGTTCCTAAAGGGAGAATAAGGTGAGCAAAATAATAGCAAATTATCATTTACATGCTGGCTGGGGAATTCTGGGAGTTGAAGTCCACACCGCCTAAAGTTGCCAGGGTTGGGAAACACTGGCCTAGACCCTGCCCCAGGTCAGATGAAACGCATGAACGCTCACAAAAGCGTCTGCCTTTGAAAAAAAATTGTCGATCAGAAAAGATGCTTCCAGACTCCTGGTTTTTGCAAAACCATCAGGACTTTTGGCTTGTTCCAAAAGGACAATCAGGTGAACAACGTACAATAACAAAATATAATTTAAATCCTACACCCGTCTGTCTGGTCTGCATCTGAGAGAGGAAGCTGCAGCTCACGAAAGCGGATGCCTCTGAATAAAATACTTTAATCGGAAGCGGGGCTACCCGATTCCTTTTGAGTGTCTGTTGGACTCGATCTCTTGTCTAAAGAAAGCAGAGAGAGAGAACGTTGTGTTGCCAGATGGCTTGCAAACTGCAATCCGACCTGATTTTTTTAAGGTTTGGGAATGCCACCTTCCCTGGTGTTACCATCCTTTAATAGGGCGACAAGATCAGGCCTGCAGCACCCCAGATGGGCCAAGGAGGCAGTAGAGATACCCCAAACCCAGCTCCGTCCTGCCACCTTGTGGCTGTTGCCATCTCTACAACCCAGATCTGATTGCTGTGCCTTTCAATGGCCCTGTAGCCTGGCTGTCCAGTGTCTAGGATGCTCAGAAATGGGACTTTGTACCTAAGACTTGTCTGTTCCAGAGTCCCCTTTCCAAGTCGCTCCTGATGCTGCCCGTCTGGGGTCCAAATGCCCTGGAGAACTGGAAACCTCCGTTCCAGAGCCGAGTCTAATGGGAACGAAGAAGGCAGCCCGGGCTTGCATCTGCTAATCCAGAGCGCCAGCTTAGCAAATCCGGGCTCCCCTCTTCAGGACTGGTGGTCTCTGGCATCATTCGGAAGGTGAACCAGCCCCAGGAGACGAAGCCTCGAGCCTGCGGAGGCCTCCAGGACGGGCTGAAGCGCCACCCTTGCAGATGTTGACCTCCTTGGGCCAAATTCCGCTTGTGCGCAAACCGTTCGAGACACGTTTACAAAGGCAGCTGTTGCCGACAAAGCGTTTGTGTCCGTTTGGGATTAGGGTGTTGTGTGAACACATGGGGACACTCAATGATTCAGAGCGCCCTGGGCACCCAGAGGCGTGGGTTAATGCAATAACCAGCTCAAGGGTATCGTGGGAACACAGGATC